CTCCCCCCCCCCCCCCTTGGGTCTTTACCTTATCTAAGATGCACCATAAATCTTTTTCTTTAATTGATTTTAACTAGTACCACAGTTGTGTAGGCATGATGACAGAACAGAAGACCACAGGCTACATCAGAGTATAGTTGTGATATCTGAGAAATTCTTGTCTAGTTCTTTTAAATGCTTAAGCAGCCATCTGCAAGCATCTGAATCTTCATCTGACTTCAGTCTTGTTTATAACTGTGATGTTTTCTCATTCTTGTTTGTCCTGAGCAGTTTATATTGTATGCTGTCAGTAGTGGTTTTGTCATGGAAATTAAGGTGTTTGACCATGAGAACATATGAACATAGCACAACTATTTGCAGTGCAGGAAACTGATACAGAGCTGTTCCTGGACAAGCATTAAGTTACATGAGAAACATTCTGGTCCTGGTGTGATAAACCTCTGAATGCTCTCCTTTGATACTGTTACATTGCCATGCTTCTGGTTTTGGTTTGATTTCAAATTTGAGAGAAGCAAAACTCTTTATCCTGTTGTTGTAGGGTCTAGATGATGAATATCAAGAAGAAGGCAAGCTTCTAGGAAAGTATGTCTATGATCAAGGAGGAGAGCCACTGCAGATGTTTCCAGTGATGGTAAGTCTGGATGATAAGATTAAAGGAGAAAGATACTTGTATTTTCTGTGGCAGTGCACAATGAGCAGTGAAGGAAAAATGCAGTGTTCTCTCTTGGGCACTGTAGAAACTGAGGCAGAAAGATCTATCTGTCTCAATGTATGGTCTAAATAGATTAGGGGGAAAGGTTTGCACAGTCTGGACACAAATGGTGTGAAGGTCCTGAATGTATGAAGAGTCTGCTTCATGCTGCTTCTGGCTGCCTTCACAAACAGCTAGTTGTGTTACTTGGTTATTAACAGAAGTTGGTAGATGCAGGAATCTAAGAGAGCAATTGCAGTTACACCTGTTTATACTAAAACCTAACTCTGCTTCGTGTGTTTGCATTTTCCTTCTCCAGGAAAAAAGTGAAAACGCATTCCAAATAGTGGAACTGAGAATTTTTTCTAACTGGGGACATGCAGAATATACCTGCCTGTATCGGTTCAGAGTGCATGGGAAACCTGCCGAATAATCTCCTACACTACAGCTTGGGTTGGTTGTTGTTGTACATTTTGTTCTCAATTTGTATATACCGGAAAGCCTAGAACACTGGAATCTAAAGGATGAGGATGCAAGATATATACTGCAGAACTGTTGATCCTCTGATAAAGGCAGAAGACTGTCAGCAGAACTGTATAAAAAAACTTTTATTTGCTCAGCTTGTAATTACCATTTAGCTTTATATTTTTCTGTCCATGTTGAGAGACATTATGCATGCAAACTACTCCAGTTCATAAAGCCCAGTTGGCAGACAGGTGACACCTATTTTATTACAAACGAATGTATTGGGTTTTCTAAAAGAATAAACCACACTTTCTGCAAGTAGGAGTCTTTTTTGGGGTTTGGGGTTTTATTTGTAAATCCTGGACTTAGCTGCATACTCCTGTTAGCTTGGCACCATAAGCCAAAAACTCTAGTACATTTTAAACACTGAATGTGGCTAAAGGTGTCTTTCAGTTGACCCTTGGCTTTGACCTCTTTGGACTTCTTTGATACATGTTCAATATATTAAACATTACTGTCAGGGAAATGTAACACAACCAAAATTAGCTTCAACACCAGCGACTGAGAATGCTTTTCTGTAACTTGTGGCCATGAATTGCTCTAAAAGTCAGGGATAACTTTAAGTAACTGAAGTTATTTTAAGGGTTTTTACCATAGCAACTTGGCTGGTTTGTTCTTCTTTAGTGTTAATGCCAAATAGGCCTTGTTGTACTGACTAACTGCATCGGAGCTGAAAAGCCTGCTAAATCACCTAATAAAACGTTAGTATACAGCAGTTAAATGATCTTAATTTGTCAAAAGCAATCTCTTTGGGACAAGAATTCCTTAGGCTGGTTCTTTTTTACACTCTGGTAAATGTTGTGCTGTGAGAACACAGTATGCAGGAAAATAGGGCTGAAGTAAACCTTGGTACTTCATCTTTACAAGGACTTCTGCTCTGATATATGTGGGCATTCTTTGCATCATCCCCAGACCCCTTAGTCAGGTATGAGAAGATGAGAGTGATGTCTTGTTCTCAGAAGTAACACTTCCACATAGAATGAGATAAAATTGCTTCTTGCCCTCCCTTAGGATTGCTACTTCAAAAGTCCTTTTTGGAAAAGTGTCCTGAAATGTACTTGTATGCAGAATTTGTACCTTGCTGTTATAATGCGTTTTGTAGTTCCACATGAACTGTTAGCACATGCAGCTGCTGACTGGTTTTCTGAATAGTTATATGTTGCACAACAGTCCTCGAATGTTTAAAAAAAGTCTCCATGTGAAGAACTTTTGTTTTCCACTTGAGCTAGACAGAACCTATGGCCTATGCAGAGGAGCTAGATTACACATGTACAGGTGTTTTCATATTATAGGTTACATATTTAAAATTAGAATTATCCTGTATAAATTGAAATTAGGTAGTTGGGGTGGGAATATTTTAAATAACACTAACTTATTTTTTAAAAAAGCAAGATAGGACTTTGTGCAATGTATTTTTGTAAATGCTTTTCAAAATGTCTGTTATTCTTTGCTGCCTCCAAACTGACAAGATGCTGTTGAGATGTTTAAATAAAAGAGTTTTAATTTTTGAAAGTGCATGTAATATTTCAAACAAGAAATAAAGCTGCTTTTCTGTATTTTTTGACTGCCCATTGCCCATTTCGGGTGCCGCTTGTTTCCACACAAACTTTGCCGGGGGTTGCCAGCCGTCCCCTGGGCCGCCCGCCGCCTCCGCTACCGCTCGGGCCTCACCTTGCTCGTC